GTAACTCTCTATTCCTTATTAGCATATAAATTATTACTACCACCAGAGTCAGATACAGAGACAAGAGACAGGTGTATAGCCCAACCTTTCATTGATTACACTTGTCTCAGTGCCTATCTAGTGACCTGCAACAATACAGTAGAAAGTCTCACCTATACGTGCTGGAGATACATATGAGGGAGGAGGAAGGTGGCATGCAGATTGGCAGCAAGTTGTCTTGTATTTAGCGAGGTTTCTAAAATCCCCCCACCCTCCCCCCAGTTTAAACCCAATATTTATATATGGCTTATTTTAATAAATATTCTCTGATTGGTGTTCACATTTATTTGTTTCACTGAGACATTGGAAACTGGACTGGACTGTGTTTCTATGGACTTTAAGGATGCCAATTAACTAGGGTCCATGACCTTGTGAAAATTACAGTTCTGGAAAAGAGGATTTACCTCTTTCCCTCACCATCTGGGAATGTTCTGTTTCTTTTACTCTGGTCCAGGCTGGTTGTAAGGTCTGCAAAAGCTCTCGCTGAAGCAGACTTTGGAACTTTCTGCAGCTTAGCATAAAGCCCTTAAAAATGGCCAAGGCTGACAACAGAAGTAGTGGACTTCTTTTTCCTCTGTTCCTAGATTCACAACCTAGAGCACCTTTAAATCCCACTTTAATTTCTTTTCTGCACATAACATACATTTTGGCTTTACAATATTTAGTTAACAAAGACACATTATTGTTATTCACTCTTGGACTCACCTAATATTAGTGGCCTTGATTAACAGATTCTTATGCTACTTTCCTAGGTTACTGCTCCTAATTTAAATGCAAGTGTTATCCAGATTACAGGTAACCTTGCAGGTTGGCAACTGATAAAAGAGGCATAAACAGGCCTACAGCCTGACCTTTTATTTTCTTAAACTTCAAAACACAAAAACAAGCATTTATCCCAAAGTCTATCTGGCTACCCTGTGATGGCACAGTGTAGATTCTCACCCATATTGGTTCGAGAGACCCAAGAGATGGGAAGAAGGTGGCATGCAGATTGGCAGCAGGTCTTGAATTTGCTGAGTTCTCCAAATTTCCCTCCAGCTTATACCCCACATTTATAGATGGCTGGTTCTTACAGTCTATTAAATGACTTTTGATTGGTTTTATTTATATGTCTTTGTTTCACTGAAACTTTTGGAATGGACTGAACCAGTTTTCCTGTGGATGTGAAAGATGTCAATTGGGATGTAAATTAAAATTACACTTCTGAGGGGAAGGATTCTAATCTCTTTTCTTCACCACTATGCGTATTGCTTGTCCTCATCCTGTTTTTCTCTTCCCCAAAATTTACAGTCTTCCATAAACAAGGCTTCTTTGTTTTTTTAAAACTTATCTAAAAACTTAACAAAAATACATTATAGCAAAAGAGCATCTAATACATTTGGTTACATCAATTACTAGTGGCTGAAGCTATGATACAATGTATTTAGATTATTTAATGTCTCTTCCCTTACAATGCCTCTTTTCAGGCTTTGTGCTCTGTTTGTCTCTCTTTACTGGTTTAGGTAGACATGTTATGACTTCTTTTACTTTCCTGATGTCGCGTCTGCAAAGATTCAGTCTACAGTCACTCAGAAACAGGCTCTGGGGCCTTCTGCTTAGCCACACTTTCACAGCTTGGCCTAGGCCCCTTGAAAATGGCCACAACTGGCAACGCAAGATTATTGATTGTATGCCAGCTTAAGCACATATTATTTGTAAGTTAGGCTTCTGCTTAGGTCCACAGTCTGCATCTGTCAGAGTGGTCTGTCATGTCTACAGCCTTCATGGTGGCTCTCCAGGTAAAGCATGGATTAAAACTTACTATTTCCATATACATTCTTGTCATGCTTTCAGCACCATAGTATCTGAGGGTATGGACAAACAAGCAAATTCAGGAGAGGGAGTACCTCCTAGATGTCAGCTGCTCTGTGGTAACTGCCTGTGCACCTGCTGCTACTTCACCGTAAGCGAAGGGCATATCATGGCAGTTTACCCCTGCATAAAAGAGGGCTAGGCTAGTGCAACATAGCTTTTGCTTACCACAGGGTAAAAGCATGCTTACCACAGGGAGCTTTCACGGAGCAGCTGACATGGGCTAAGTCCCTACCCTCTTTTAACTCAGTCCAGTTTGTTCAGCTGTAGATACCATAAGTGTCAGTAGTACAGTAATGAGAGTACAAGCACCTGTCACCTCTTTCATCCTCTTAGGGGACTTCTAGGGGGATACGTGCATGCAATGTCTGGTTTTGTTGTGGTGGGCCTTTGTTTTTCATGGTGTTTTAAATGTACCTTCTTTGTGAAGCACCACAGGTACGGAGGGCTGGCAGACAGCGGTTTTGTCCAGTCAGCTGGTGTCCCAAAGGTCAGAAACCCCGTGTGAATGTCAGCAGTCATAACCCTCTGCTCCCACTTGGGGCAGGACTAGTTATGGACTGCATTATTCTCAACACATTGTCATGTGGCAGTTACTAAGAACACAGTCTGAGTTTTTTAAATGATTTGCTTATTCTGTGAGTGAAAGTCCTTTTCCAAGCAACATAATGGTTCAAGTCATCCAACATGTGGCTGGGAGGGCCCCATGCTTTACCTTCTGCCTGGGTTCTCTATGTCTATAGCCAGCCTTGGGGGTAAGGTTTCATGCCTGAGGGAATTATCACCCACAAGAATTCAAAAAAAGGGAATTTGTTGTTTACCCCATCAACAAGAAAGCTCTACCTCCATCCTTACAATAGAGATACCAAGATTTATCTTTGAGATTTACTTTAATGGAGTGGGGATTTCATACAATTTATACATAGGGTTCACAGTTTAGAGAGTCTGCATTCAGAGAAGACTTCAAACAGTGGGTAATTTTACAAGCTACAGAAACTGATTTTGTTTTTGATAAAGCATGTGATAGCATCTGCATGTTGCCCCCTTGCCCCCATCTCCCCCTCCAAGGAAAACCCCAATGGAAGTAGATGTATTTCTCTCTTTTCTCTCTAACAAAATCCTTTTCCCTCTATTACATGGTGGTCACAGACCTAGAAAAAACAATGCCTGCTTTTAATTTCTCTAAGTCAGAAAAGCACTGCCCTTTTTACAGAAAGCAGATGGGAGACTCTGGGATTCAAAGCAATTACACACACATGCTGATCCCGAAATAGGACTGATGATGTAAAATCCTTTGAGCCTGCTGAAATGGATGGGTCTTCTTTGAGAATGGACTAAAAGCAACAAGGTTTTTCAAATTGATGGATTATAACCCTTTATGGAGAGAATAGAAAAAGGAACAGACATTTAAGAAACACATACTCTGAAGAAAATACAGCTCACTGAACGGAAAGTTTCAGTTTGTAACAACTATTTGTGATGAGTCCATACTGAAATTAGTTGCAGCCATATCTTATCATCAGCATATCTACAGGGTTCACTTTGGAGTCTTGGCAGATTTTCATGCAAAGCAACAGCAGAAAATGTAAATATAGGCATCATGTTGCCAGCCCTAGATTAACTATACACCGGGCAAATAATGGTTAGCCATTGAGTGTGCCAACTATGAATTGGGGGCAATACTACAGGCCTCGGTTTTACAAATACAGCGTGGAACACACATTCAGAGCAATGAGGAGGAAGGTAGCTTCAAGTCACCCTGGAAGACTTCTAATTCTGGGCTGTCAAAAAGGCAGATGTAAATTATTTCACATTGAATGATTTGATTGTTTATGATGGACCCTGGCCTTGGTTACAGGAGCCAAAGTCTTCTCAAATGTTAAGAAGCTCCCTGATGGCTGTCTGTGGGCTTCTCAACCCAGAGCAGCACAGAATCAGCCCCAGTTTGCTCCTGAGACTACAGATAGATAGTATAAGGCTGGGAGCTGCTTCTACTAAAAGAAATCTCCCTGGGAAGGAGGTTTCTCCTCCAGCATGGTCTACAGAGGCTGCAGGCAACATGTGATTGTCACTGCCTATGTGTTTCCAAAACCCAAGGCAGACTTGGGCTGATATGGCTGCCTACAGTAGCAGAAGATTCAACTCCATTACTCAAGGGGATCATTCCAGTCCTGTGCTTTAAAGGCATGGCTCCTGTAGAACAAAACTGGTGAAAAAGTAAGAAGTGGAACAGGAAACTGCAGTGAAGGATTTGTCGATAGAAAAAAAAAGGTTGTTTTGATAGGGCTTTCCACTGTAGCTGGAGTGGTTCAGGTCTATCCAGAGACTATGTCCACAGGGTTTTGTTAGTGTCAGTTTAAGCTATTTACCTTGTAAATCACATAGATCTGCTTTTTCAATTTGCCACGCGGCTTTCTGAACAGATACTCCAGGGTGCCATGTTCTAACATTAGGTTCTATGCATCCTTGGTTTTTTTTCCTGAAGTGTATTGTGGGATACCTACTTCCCACAATGAAGTGCATTGTGGGATACCTACCCACCCTGTTCAATTATGGCCTAAAAGTACAAACCCTCACAATTCCTTTAAAAAATCCCATCATGTAGCAACTCAGTGCCCTTTTCAATGTGCTTTTGGGGAATATGGAGGAGCACAGCTGAGCACAATAGTCTTGTCAGTCATTAATAAAAGTAGGGTAAGGTGGAAAACTGACACATCAGCATACCCAGCACGATGGCATGGAGATACTATTATGGAAGGAGGTATTATAACTTGAGTTATGCAAATTGCTTCTTAAGTGCATTGTTCAAGTAAAAAACATAATATTTTGAGTTGATTCAAAATGAAATGGTTTTTTGATTTTCAAAAAAATGGAAAGTCATAAAAAATTGCTGAGAGTTGAACAAAACACAGTTTTGTTTCACATCTGAGACAGGTTTGTTTTCAGGATTTGAAAAATTAAAATGAAAGACATTTCAGAATATTTCATTTTGAATGCAAAACAGAATTATTGTATTTAGGAAATAACAACACATTCTGAATATTCCAGTGTCTCTCACACCCTCCCAACCAACAGGTAAGCAAACAAAAAAATACATGAAACATGTTGGTGCCACCACCTCTGTATTTTTGCCCTGAGTGTGATTCCTTTTGGCATTCTGGGAGACAGCTCTCTCTGCTTCTGTGGTGTAAGAAATCTTTGACACCTGTTTTCATATAGGCTAAGTAGCTACAGAATGACATTGGATGTGTACTTAGAAGACTGAAGGGAAGGTGGAAAGGTGTCATGGTTGCAGATGTGTCTGAGAGAGATCTGCCATATGTGATAGCAGTTTGCTGTGCTTGAGGCAACATCTATGAGAGGGAAGGAAGAAGCCTTCAGGTGCTAACAGAAGAGAAACACTACAACAGGTACTGCCCTGAATTGGTCATGCCAAAAATGAGCAGCTGCTCCTTTTTCCCCCTTAATTTTGGAATTTCTTTCCCCTCTACTCTTGCCATTCTGGGAAAGGCTTAGAGATGATATATGATATTTTCCACCTTATTCCCTCTTACTCTGGAACCATGTTCCCTAGAACTGGGCATCTACACCCTTGCACACTGAAAGCATGGGTGGAAGAATCAGAGAAGGGAGATTCCCAAGAGAAAGCTGTCCTCGTGTTGAAGGATGTTACTATGAGGTAAGTTCCCAAGAGGCAGAAAATGTTCCTCTTCCAAAAGACAGTGGGCTAGCTGAGGACAGCTTCAGCTCTGCTGTTTTCTCAGATGGTGACCCCTGGCTGATGTAGCAATGGCACAGAAATACCACCAGTATGGACAGTATGGAAAAGGCCACATCAACTTTGCACACACCAAAACAGAGTATAATTTTTGCTTTAAATATATTCTGTTTGCAATACCTGCTGAACAATACTAAGTGCTTGTTGGCTTACTTAGTATCCTTTATACTATATGGAGCCTAAAAGGAAGTGTCTCCCACCCTCTGTCAGCTGCTTTTCTTTCTGACATTGACCCATTCCAAATTCCTTCGTTTTTCATGCTCTCTGCCATCCACTTCCATGTCTCTACTGCCCTCTTCCATGTCGCATCCACTTTCCTCTTTTCCTTTTCCCAGTTGGTTCCTCACATATCACCAGTATAGCACATGGGCTATTCCACACCGTCTTGTTTGATTTCCATGATGATGCCTCTTGGCTTAGTCTTCTCTTCTGCCTGTTGTTGGGATATCAGTGCACTGCAGAACAGACAGAGCTTTGTAACAATTGATCTGTAATGATTTTTCATGGAAGGGGTTAAAAGCCTGTGCATTGCAACAATAATGGTCTAACAGTAATTAACTGTGGTCTTCTGTAACTTATGTGTTCAAAAATGGCAGCTAGTCTTACAATTTCTGTACAATAGAGAATTATACTATTATCTTTTTTAAACAAATCTGTTGCTATGTTTGGCCAATTTACCTCTTTTTCCAGTGAGTGATCAAAAATTCAAATGGTAGCTAAAAGCATGGGGCCAAAATAAACTGTGATGCACAATGCAGTTTTCATTCCTATTTCTCTTTTTGGGACTATACCTGCACTACAGTCACTCCTCTAAATTTGCTCATTTTAGTAGCCACATAACTAGGGATCCTGGTTTTCCCTGTTTAAAAATTGTAAATTCTCTGATTTAAAAAGCACCCCAAAATCTGTGTTCTTCTTTAATTAAAATGAAACACCACTATGTACATAGGTATGTTTTGATATATTTACATATGTAAAGCAGTTTGGAAGCCTACCAGTGCCTCAGTCACTACCATAAAATACGTTCTAAATACCTATACATTTTGGTGTTTGATTTTGGGTTTTTTATCATGGAAAATCAGAGCTCCTCCTACCCCCTTCGCTCACCAGGACATGGGTCCAGCTGTGGCTGTCCCCTCCCTACTGCTTTGTGGTGCTGAGTAGCCCTGATACACTGGTGCTGTTGCCCAAGCCATTATCCCTCACTCCTGACCCACAGCCCCCCCCAGCCCTGTTGGAGGGGACCCCCAGCTAACAGGGCTATGGGGCCAGGGGCTGGTTCTGCAGCCCCCTGTCTCAGTGCCTGAGCCCCAGTTGCCATCCACAGGAGGCACCTTGCCAGGGCAGTGCGGAGCTCCCAGCAGCAGCAGCAGCAGCAGCAGCAGCAGCAGCAGCAGCATCGAGTTTCCCTACTCTGTAGCAGCAGCAGCATCATGCCCCACTCTGCACTGCCATGCCAGTGCCCACCCACTAGGCCCTGGAGGCCCCAGGTAGAGGGCAGTAGGGTGGGGAGTCTGAGCCCACAGCAGGCAGCCTGTCCCCACCCCACACACATCTTGGGGGCACATGCCCCCATTCCCCCTCAAAAGTATGTGCAGTGACAGGGAACCAGGCCACATAATGGACTGGGATCAAGCAAGAGGAAGAAGGATCCCCAAGAAACAAGGGAAAAGGAATGGGACCTGGGATACATAGTTCATGGTCACTGGATTAAAGATTTCAAGGAGATAAACATTTGTAAGCCAAAATTTCTGGCACTTGAGTTTTTCAGGCTAAGAACAAGAGTGGATAAAACCTAAACATGCAGAAACCTCTCAGTCCCTGCCATTGCCAGCAGAAAGTGCTGTTGGCAATGGCTTAGGGGCTCTGAGTAAGAGTGGCTGTATATGCAGAGGTCTCTGTTGCAGTGAACTGCACATTAGTGCCCCCAAGGGGGTTGTATATATTTCTGTGCGTCTCACATTATATTGTTATATACTGGTATATAACAATACCAGTGCATCTCACTGGGCACGTCTACATGTGCCCCTAACTGTGCATTTGGTACTGGCTTTAGCAGATACTAAATGAGTGTGCAATATGCACCAGTACTGCACAGTCCCAGCAGCACGCAGTTATTTTTAGATGCTATGTTGCCATAGCAATGAGCTTCAGTGACATAGCTCATTGCTATGGTGATGTAGCACCAGCATCACAGTTTGTGCCTGCTGATGCTATGTCACCATAACCCATCACAGTTTGCGCCCTCCAACGCTATGTCACTGTAGCAATGAGCTACATTGCCATAGCTTGTCGCTATGGTGGTGTAGCATCTCATGTAGATGCACCCACTGTGTATTAGTATACATGAATGAGTTATGCAATCCAGAGTATCAGTCATGGGCATTCCTACAATTCTTGACATTTTGAATTACACTTTCCCACATCACAGTTCTCAAGTATACCAGTCTGTTCAAGTTTTTAAAGCAGATGATGATATAGGGTAGGAGTATGATATTGCTAATGGTTTAATGATTAGTGATCTAAGTACAAGACTAGAAGCCAGTAATCCTTGCGTTTTTGTCATGAATATGATAACACACTAACATACTGTGGTAGAGGGAAGTACCTGGCACAGCAACCCCAGAGTGACAGCTGCCTGGGAGGTGTCCCTGGCAGTGTCAGGGGACTGAATGAGAGCTTAGTAAGAGCGGGAGATGGGTTTTGCTTACCTGCAGGGACAGTGACGATATCAGCAGTGGAGCAGCAAGCACAGCGTCAGCCCCATTTTGTGGGTGTGCCAGCTGTGGATTGGGCAGTGTGTTGGGGCTGACGTTATAAACGAGTGCCCCAAACCAGTGAGAGAAGAGCATGGGGAAGCCGGGAGGCAGGGGACAGAGCCCCATGGCAGTGTAGCCCTGGCACGGGCATTTTAAGCAGGTGAAGGAACCTGCTCCAGAGACTGAAGGCTCAGAGGAGCTTTCAGCCCCAGGGATCCAGACTCTGGCAAGGAGTAAACCATGGCCTGGGAGATCTTCCCCAGATGTCATTACCACACTGGATCCACAGGCAGAGGGAGCTGCAGATGCAAAGAGGTGTAAGTGGCCTGAAAGAAACTGGGATCGGGAGCACGCTGTTTACGTTCCTTATGGATTTTGCTTGTGAGTTTTGATGCTTTTTCATTGTGGGAGGACTAGATTGACCCACTGGTCAGGTACCTTCATGAATTACATTAGGATGACACTGAGCTAATCAAGTGGGTAATGAATTGATTGAGACTGAAGGGAATTGTTTATTCTGGAAAGAGTTGATTTATTTATGCCCAGAGGGGATTAATAAATTACCACCACCAGAGGGCGTGGAATGATTTACGTATGAATTAATGGAGACTTAAGCCCACCATTTATTCATCAGGGACTTGATTTCTATATATCTGAAGAGTTAAGGAATTACACTCATGGGAAGGCAAGGGGTGAGTTGCCTTCTGCATTGATCCAGAAGCGCATAAGACACTCAGTTGCAGGATGCAATGCATTGCTGCCTTTTCCCCCCACCACCACCCATGGACTTAATGAATCCCTACTGAACATGGCAGACTGAGTTGTTTGCTGAATGAGTTGCTAGCCCAGTACCTTCCTGCTCGGAGAAGCTGTAGCATGTATTCCCGTTTAAGACTCAGCTGCCATGTGGATAGGGTAAAAGGGGAGAAGGGAGCCCCGAGTCCCACTGGTGCACGCAGCTTGCGTGGGCACCCACAGATAACCAGGGACCCACCCTCAAACTCACAAGATCAAGGTGTGGAAGGTGAGTTGGGGGGTCATGCCCTGCGAGTGGGACATATTAAGGGTCAAACAGTCCAGCCACAGAAGTGGGAACCCTAGAGACCGGAGTGCACGGACCATACAGCAAAGTCTATTTTGGCACCGCCACTCACACATACACACTAGCTCATGTATGCTTTGTGGGCTCAACCTGGTTCTGTCCACAGACAAAGGCATAAATCCTAGAAAAGTTCTCATTCACAGGCATGCACTGCCCATCCTCCACGGGTAACTATGTCAAATAAGAATGTGCATGTTCACTTCTCTGAGCATGGTTTTAAAAAAAAATGGTCTCTAATCTGTCTGTACTTGTTTCTCCTTGCACATCATAGGATAAGAAGAATCCCCTGCTGGATGAGATGTTGTGAGAATTCTTTTCAAAGGCTTTGCAACCATTTCCCAACATGAAAATTACTAACAACTTCAGGAATAGAGTCAATGTGATATTAATTTTCAATCCTATAGATTTTTGTTTTGCTCTTCCATTGTTTTTCCAATGTACAAAGTGCAAATACATCCACTTTCAATCAGAATGAGTAAATCTTAATCTTCCTTAAGACTACAAAAAACAACATACAAGAATATCAATTCTCCATGAGAAAGAGAGGAATGCAAAAATTCACTCATTCTGCATCTGGGCTGAGCACAAAATGACACCTTGTTCTGCAGCTACAGGCGATGGAAGGGCAAAGAGACTAACTAAATTGTCTGTTTTTAAAAGGGCAGTACATAGAAAACAGCTTTTTCTGGAAAGAGCAATTATAAATCTAAATAATAATGTTATCTCCTTTCAGTTATGTAACTGCACAGAGGGCCAAATACTAGAAGTGAGACAAGGGACTAAAGAAAAAACTGAGAAAACTAAATACCATAGTTTTCTAAACAATACAGTCTAGCTCAAACAGAAGTGAAAATTTTCATCCAGGAGTTATGTTCTAAAACTATGGATTTAGCACAGAAATAGTCATTTCCACCATTTCATATAGCAATATCTACTCAATATGGCAGCACCAAGTGGACACCCACAGTAAAACTGTTCACATTCCACTATTGAGTCAGTATTCAAACAGTTTATTGTAGTGCAACACACACACTTTACTGGTCAGAATCCTTCTTCAACACTGAATGTGTACTGGAATTCGAAATCAGAAAAGTGACCTCTGGTCAAAATAACTCCAGAACTGTGGAGGGTGCACAGGTAAGCAGCCAGGCTGGGGTAGATGTAAAGCAATGTGATATAGGGTAATAGTGGTTGGTTTAATTTATTGAAAGCCAGGACACATCCACATAAATATTAGAGCATTATAACTCTCTTCGGAATAGACGTAAGCAGCTTTCAAAGCAGAATAAGATGCAGATAATCTTCAAAGGAAGGAATAACTTTTGTATATGGACACAAGGCTGAAAGCTATGGTCAACACACTTTCCCATACAGAGAAGCCCCAAGAAAATGTCAACTAATTCATTATGCTCAGCAAGGTTCATTAACACTGATGGAGAAAGTAAAACTGAAGAAAAAAAGATGGGGGCAGGGGAGGAATATATGATAGCTCATTTATGATGTTACATAAATCTTAACCTTCAGTATGTCCTGTGCTCATGTGTCCATGCATGTGCAAGCATACACCCACATACACAAGCCCTTGACACCCATTTGAGGCTTCTTCCCCCCACCCCCACAAGAACCTTTGCAAGGACTGAGGACAATGCATTCTGGTTCAAGAGTATTAAAGTAGCTGAGTGTCTGCCCATGTTGACCCAAGGAGTGAGATATGCTCAATGTAGGGAACGCTACATTTGTTTTTCACAGGATTTAATCTAAAATAGTAAGCCGGACTTAATGGGTCCTTCAAGAACCTGCCTGAATGGCACATTCAGCATTTTTGTCAGTCAGTTGTAAGTCAGAGATTCGATGTTGCAGAACTACAACAATAGCATTCAAAAGGTCCCTTCTAGATTCTTTGTAGTCTTGCCTATAGAGCTGACACTGTGTAACATTAATTGCAGGTGTTTGCAGTATCTGTATTTTTAGCTTTTGTAGAAGCAAGATAAGCATCTTTCTGCAAACAGATAGCTTCCTCAATAGGTACTGTCAGAATTATTCTTTGCTTGTACAATGCTGTTGGTAAAGGAAGAGGTTTCAAGAGATGCCAAAAAGGAGGCTGTAAAGCAGTACCTTAACTTTCCTAGAGCTGGGCCAGCCAGAATGCTCATCTCCATATAGTTGAGAGCAGATTAAGATCCACCCCTTGTGACACTGGATTTATAGCAGTCTCACATGCATCATGTGTAGGCTAGAATAAGGTGGAGTACTGTGAACTAAGCTACTGGCCTGCCCCTATGCCTGTCCCTTGCATAGCTGTTATGCCCTGTGCCTCCTATACCCTCAAGCTAGGGACAGAGGTTAAACGTAAACCAATTTAAGTGATCAGAAACTGGTTTAAACCTGTAACAGAACAGACACTCAGTGCACACAAACTAGTTTCAAAATGGCCAAAACTGATTTAAGATAAACCTGGTTGAATGCAGTATCAGACTTAACTGATTTGGGTCAAACCAGTTTATGAAACTTTTGTCCCATACACCTTCCTGGTTTAAGTTAAACCAGAGTCCTCCCGCATCCCAGCATGCTCTGCAGCCCTGGGCTGGGCTGGGCTGGGCTGGGCTGCACTCTCTGCTCCAGAGAGCAGGGCTGGCCCCGCCCCTCTGAACTCTAGCTGGACCAGGGGTGGGGACATGGCCAGACACATATCAGCATGGCCCCATTATGGCTAAGAGGGCAGGGAGCAAGTTAATTCTTCCCTCCCTCCCCTCCCTCAACCATAGCTGGGGTCTGCCTGTCTGTGGGAAAGCAGCAGAGGTGGAGGGGGAACCGGGGATGGCAGAATCCAGCTGCAGTCCCCACGGGCAGAAGGGACAGAGGAAGAAATTAGCCCCCTCCCTGGGGCCATGTCAGGATGATGTCTGCAATGTCCCCACCCCCACCTCAGGGCAGGGTGCTCTGTGTGGCACTGCCTGGCCCTGGAGGAGGACTCTTCCCCCTCCTCCTCCGCCACCCCCCCCCATCACAGGGCAGAGAGGGGGCTCTGTGTGGTGCAGGAGGGGGACTCTTGCCCCCCTCCTCCCCCCCATGCCCCACCACCATGGGGAGAGGGGCTCTGTGTGGCACTGCCTGGCCCAGCCCAGCCTGGACAGGGGGAGTTGTTGTCACTGAGTCACAGCCATTTGGGAGGGCCCCATTCCCACAGCTCAGGCTGAGGGGCAGAGCCCTCCTCCTCCTCCTGCTCCCCCTACCACTGGGGTCTGGCCCTGTCTGGACATGCTCCCTCTTCCCCCTCCCCCCCTTCCCAGCTCAGCTTTCCTGTAGAAGGAAAGGGAGGGCTTCTGACCTGAGCCATTGCAGGCATGTGCCTGCATTTCTGGAATGAAAAGTGGATGTCTATCCACTTGCAAATTGGTTTGATCTGTGCAGGTTAGACTAACCTGCAAAGATTGAATCAATTCAGGCTCGGGCTTTCTGAATGTCTGTCCCTAGCTTCAGAGACCAATCCCCAGCACCTCTTCTGGGGAAGGTTGTCTTTGGTTTGAGCAAAAGGGCAGGGGCTGAGAATATGGTTTTCTATGTTTTAAAATATATTAAAAGAGTAAATGTATCTAATTAAAGTGGCAACTGGTCTAACCTCTTAAGTGTCTGTTCTGCCCTGATCTCCTCTCATTTAACTTCTACTGAGGCTAACAACAGCTATACATAAGCATCAAGGAGAAAATGGATTGCTTAAATTTGGACTTCCTTAATCGTTAGCATCAGCATTTCCAGATGTGCTGAAATTGCATTCAGAATAAACACAGGAAGTGAAGCAGTTTAAGTATTTGACAGTAAATTACTGCCACAAGTGAGAAAAAGAGCTGCTATACATAACTGAAAGAGCAAGCACTAGTGTTGGCTGGTGGGTGCCTTTCTGTGGTCAGTGTAAAAAAACACACAAAGAGCACACAGATAGTTGCCTTGTAAACTTCTTTCTTTCTTCTCTAATAGAAGAACTCACAGTATGTTGGGTACCCTTCTTGCAGTGCTCATCTGCATAAAAAATTAACTGAACCCCCCGGGGAAGTTTGCTTGAATAAGAATTACAGCTCTGGCCAATTGAAAAGAGAGGTCCTGGTTCTGACCAAGGAACTCCACTCCCGAAGTCCAGAGGAAGACCTTAGATTTCCAGACTTGCTCTGCAATCTGTCCTAAAGGCCCTCCTCACCCCTGGCAACATGGCTCTTAAAAGAACAATGTTGCCACCTGTAAATGGTAAGATGATGGGTGCTGCCAGCCAGGGCAGCACCAGGGAGACAAAGGTTTGTGTGGCCCCCTGGCTAGGAGCCCCGGTCAGATGATCAGGGCTCAAGAGGCTGGGAGAACTGGCCACATATTCAAGTAAAGGGACGATAGGGACCAGCCACAAAGTCATCACACATATTTTGTGTAATACCTTGATGGCTTATCCCTCATTTTATTTCACCATTAATTGAATTAACATGTGGCCAGGGCATTACTTAAGATGTGATTAACTATTTAATCATGTCTTTAGTGTAACAACTGTCAGGGGCCTTAAAGGCAAAATAAGATTGGCACATAAATCCCTAGAGATGCTAGATACCTCCAGGATTGGGCAATAGCTGACAAGATGTTTTTGAGGATCTAAGTTTCAGACTTCAGTACTTAAAGAGAAGTTAAGTAGCACTTAGATGCCTCCGTTGTTTTGTACATCTAGCTTAAGAATATAAACCAACTTTTAAATATGGGAGACTAGGAAGAAATCTTCTGCGGAGGAAAGCTGCCCTACAGTTATCCTCAGCAAAATTCTTCATCTGAAATTTCTGGGCTAAGCCACTGCTGGAGACAAGAGGCTTATCAGTTTTTTCCACAAGAAATTTTTAAAGGTCTTGGTTACTTACAGTGTGGAACACAACTAAATATTAAGGTCTTGAAATTTTTTGTGAAAGGGCATTTCTTTTCTTTTTCCCCCTCAGATCGCCCTTGTCACTGGTGAAAAGTAAGTTTGGTTATTTTACAGTTCCTGGCGTTATTTCTCACCCTCTTACAAATTCACATCACAACTGACACTCAGCCTAGTAGATGTTTAGAAACACACAGGTTGTGCAGATTAGGACTGAGACTGATTGTCAAAACAGTGCAAGGAAGTCTTGAAAAGCATCTCTGAGCACTCTGAGTTCCCTCCAGGCAACACTTCACTTCCAGAAATGGTGAGATGTAAGTACAGAACAGGACTTCAGCTCAACATTATAATATCAAACCTGATTTTAGGTACACTGCTGAGTCTAACAGAATGCGTAACTCAAGTTAAGTACTTAGGGTCCCTAGAAGCGATGAGAAATACACATCTAAGAATAAATTCCAAGAAGAAGCCAGCACACTGAAGGGGTAGCTGCTTAGACTAGCAAACAAAAACAACAACAAAAGGGATATAACTTAAACCAATAACTCAAGCTCTCAGACTGGTAGATACCTAAACTCCAGGCTGGAGCAAGAAATCTCTCTTCTGGTTCAAATTCACAACCATGAACCTTCTGAGTTGAGCCTGACCTGGCCTAGACACCTTTCTCACAAAAAACAAAAGAAGGGCATGCCTGCTCCTCTCCGTCCCCCTAGCCCATTTACCAAAAAAGGTAGTAGTTACAGCACTTACCTGGGATACAGGAGACCCAGATCCAAATCCCACATCCGCCTGCCAGTTTGATCTACATCTTCCACCTCCCTAGAGAAAGACCCTGGGATCAGTCTGCCAAGAGGAAAATAAGCTGTTCTTTTAATTATCTCCTTTTGAAGCTGTTCAACTTTGTACAAAATACTTTAAAATATTCACTGAGGCAATGACTGGAACCCAAGTGTCTCCTCTCCTAGGTTAGTATCCCAATTACCAAGCCATAGGGTCTCTCTCTCATTCACTTTCTCTTTGACTCAATAAATAATTATTTTATTCAAAGTGGCATATCATCACAGGTAAGTGCCATGATTAGGGCAGGGGGGCAGTGAAGGCTACTACCCTCCTCTACCTCCTGGCTATGTTTTGTGTGGGGTCAGATGTACTCTGAGCATGTCCACTGGCTCAGGCCTGACGAGTGACATAGGTGGTGGAGCTCCTAGTTTGTGAATCCTGCCGAGACTCATGCATGAGATAAGCCTTGGCCCTGTCAAGATGCAGGCAGTTCTGTGTATAACCAGTGACTTGAAATGTAAGTGATTAGGAAACCTTACATGAGGCAAGTTAAGCAAGTAGGGAAATTAGATACTGTATTGTTTACTGGAGATTTTGAGGATCTAAAATTTGGATTTAGGCAGCTAGGATGCCAGTGGGGTGTCAAAGTCCTTCTCCTAATTAGTCCTAAAATCACATAAACAGAGAACAAAGAAGTTATTCTACCCCATCTGCCTCTCCCCTACATTTTCCTTTAGAAAATGCAATGATCATTTACTTAGAAGTAAAATGGCTGAACTAGAATAAATTCTAGTAACCCTCTTAAGACTTGGGGCCAAATCCAGTTGCTATAAATTGCCATATTCCATTGGTGTGACACTGGCTGAGGATATGGGTCTTTGCATAATTAGACCTTTATTGTCCAAAACTTACTCATGTTGGTGAATGCTTACTCACATGGATAGGCTCTTTGACTTTTGTGGGCCGTGTATCCTCACTCGTGAGTATAATGGTGATGGAATTTGGTTCATAGAGAATGGAGCAAACGTTCCCTCAGCAGTACACTTTGCTATTGCTAGTGATTTTCTGTAGCACTCTGACTGCACTGACTGGCAGCAGCAAAAAGCCCTTAGATAAGAAGCTATATCTCCATGTTACTAAAAGGAAAATGGGGGGGGAATGAATGAAATATACCCGATACTTCACAGAAAACAGCATACATTTATCAGATACATATAATGACAGTAACAGATGGTGGCACTAATTGTCAGTTGGGAAGTTACTGTTCATTTACTTTGCTGAAGGACAAAGTATGCACATGGATGTGGAATTTTTTATATTGCCACATTTTGACACAAGTTAGAAAAGCATTACAGATTTCCTCCCTTTACTGAGCTGTCATATGAGATCATGGATGTACGTGACTATATGCTATAGAAAGAGTTTAGCACTATCTACACAAAGCAACATTAGAGCAAACCTTGGTAATGATATTTGATGTTTCCATGTACAGTGAGGTACAGTTTTAATGAAACAAATGTACAGGTGTCACTGTCAAGGGAACAGAGGTGTTCTTGTCTCAGAAGTGCAATGGAGCATGCACTCCATGCTGTCTGAGCACCTCACAATAAACAGTAATGGATTTGAAGCTCCTGTGAGATAAGGGTGTATTATCCTCTTTTTACAAAAAGGGAACTGAATAAATAAAGTGTCTAACCTTTCCACAAGAACTCTATTGCTGAACCAACAACTTAGCCAAGGTCTTCTGACTACCAGTCCAGGCCCAGGAACCAGTTCTCTAGACCAGGGGTGGCCAGAGTGACCCTGGGAGCCACATCCAATCCTCCACTGAAGTTCAAGAGCTGGAGGGTGGGGAGGGGGGCTGAGTGACCCAGAGTGAAGGTGACCCCCCCCCCCCGACACTGCACTCTGAATTTCCCTGTGGGGAGCACACCCCAAGGTAAGCAGCACAGCTGCAGCCCCCACCCTAGCAGTCCCAGAGGGAGAGAAGTAGGGAGGAGGGCAGCCTTGGGGCACGCTCCCTGCAGGGAAAGCCAGAGCGGTGGGAGGTGCCACGCTGCACTGTCCCCCAGAGTTGCATCAGGGAGAAGTGGGTGGGGGTTTGGCCAGTTTCCGGAGAGCTGCAAGTACTGTGCCGATGAGCCGCATGTGACCTGCGAGCTGTGGTTTGGCCACCTCTGCTAGACCATAAACCCTATATCAACCTACCACAGCACTTTACCAGTCTGTCACAGCCTGGGATGGCATGCATCACCCAGATTAGTGACATGTAAGACATCAAGTGTCACTACCCATGATGGTAGTCCTCTCAGCCTGTGCTGGAAGAGAAAGCAGGCAGTCATTTTATATTGAACTGCATGCAAATCCTGAGACAAAGGGACACATTGTTCCCTCATTATACTACAGAGTACTCATAGTAAGCAGCCCTGAGCCTTTTTGAGAGCAGGCAGCATACAAATCCAATAAATAAATAAATCAATACTGGGGCACCAGAATGAACCCACACATAACAATTAGCTTGGGAACAGGTGCTAATTTCACATCTGATAATGCAGTGCACTTACAAAAGAGAGGTACTGTGGGAAAACATGATAATGAGTGAGTATTTGTGTTCAATACCTGATGGTCAAATGTTACAGGCTGGATTGAAACCACCTGTTAAGTACATGATCTGTGAAGACTGCAGGAAGAAAAGAAACCAAAGTCTAAAAGATCCATGACCTTCTCCCACTCCATCCCTTACGTCTCCATGCAAATATGATTCCTTTTCTTTGGAAGGAATGGAGGTGATCGGGGGCCTTGTTACCCATTCCACTTTGAGCTGTTCAAATATTGAACATTGTTAATACTAGCTCAAGTTTGGATCAGCCCCAGTTTAAGGCTAAAAACTAGGGCTGTGTGAAGCTTTGGGTTGTGATTCAATTCAGAGAAGATTTGGCATGATTCAGTGGCTGAATCTCCAAATCCGAATTGAATCAGGGGACCAATTTAAAGGTCTAAATTGATAAAAAGCTCACCAAATCTTCAGCAAAGATTCAGAGAGCTTTGATGATTCGGGCAGTCCCCGGTGGCTGAAGCAGGGAGCTGCAGCTGACTCCAAGCTGGTAAGTACTAGGGACTGGGGGAAGGGACCATGGGGGACCCCTGCCAGCCCCCCCAACCGTCCTGCTCCTCCAACCCCCACCCCGCCATTGCTGCCCCACACCCCCAGTCCCAGCTCGGTACTTTAAAGAAAAAACCTGGTGCTCACTGGGTGCTGCTGGGAGGGGGGGGGGTCATCCCCACTGCCCCCCACTGCCCCACACTGCATGGGGGGCTCTGCAACCACCCCCCTGCTCCTCCAGCCCCCCCATGGGTGACCCACCCAGGCCAGCTCTGGCCCTTTAAGAAAAAAATAGCCAAGAAAAGCACCAGGACTCACCACTCCTGCAGCAACCTTGGGGCTTCGGGGGCTCATGCAGAGCCCCCAACATGGTGCAGTGCAATGGGGGGCAGCAGGGATTGCCCCTGCCAGCAGGAGCAGTGAGTCCCTGGGGGGTTTTAGGTTTTTTTCTTCTTAAAGGGCCAAAGCTGTCCCATGTGGAGTACCCGTGGGGGGTGGGGGTTGGGGGAGTCAGGGACTTCATCCAGAGCCCCCCATGCAGCCTGGGGCAGTGGAGGGCAGCAGGGATCACCCTCTGCCCAGCAGCACCTGTTGAATCGGGGCTTTTTTTTTTCCTTTTTTTAAACGATTGCCAGGAGTTGAGGCACCCATTGCCGGGCTAGGAGAGCAAGTAGGGGATGGGCCTGGCCTGGCTGATTTGGAGATTCAAATCCGAAGCGAATGCTAGCTACTTTGCACAGGCCACTTGCACACTATGACTTGCCACTAGAGGGCTGGTGAGCAGGAGCCTGACAGGGAGCTACAGCTGTGAGTTTTTAGGGGTGCATGTTCTGCTTCCCAAGGTGGAAGTGGTGAAAGACGCTTTTGGGGAGCTACTGGCTCTGCCTGAGGCAAAAAGCTCCATCTCATGGGCACCTGATCCAGCTCCTTACCTTGTTCCCCCCATCCTGAACCCATCCATACATTGCAACTTGGCTAGCTGGTATGTGCTCTGCAGGCTGTTGCACCCCTGGGAGTGGGAGGGGAACTTGGCTTGGTGCCAGAACTGCCTTCTGGGCAGCAGAGTTCAGAGGATGGAAAGTTTTTCTACACAGAACAGGAGGGTGCAGAAGACCCATCATCCTGGGATGCTGAAGGACTGCAACCTGGGCAGGTCATCTGTGGGGAACGGCCACACATTAACGGAACACCAGCTGGATAACACCGATCAGAGATAAACCTGCACTGGAGGGCCATAACCTTCAGCTGCCTAAAGTATGTTTCAAACTCGGTGCAGGTGTTAATGTGTGGACAATCCAGATGATAAGGGCTCCAGGAGCTGCCTAAAATGAATGTGTAACAAGGCCCTGAGTCTTCTGCTTATGGAGTATAGCTAGTTAGGCCTTAGGTGATCAGGCCTAGCTAACTATACTTACTTGATTGTTCAGTTTAGCTGTACTGATATTGTGCTTACATTGTTTTCATGGCTTTCTCCTTGTATTTTACCACATGCTGGACAAACTTTGTTTTTTGAGAGGGAAGTGGAAATGGATTGGACCTTCTGTGCACTCTCTAGACCAGGGGTGGGCAATTATTTGGACCAGAGGGCCACTTAGGGAGCTCTGGTAAGCTGTTGTGGGCCAGATCACCCCTCCCCCCCGCCCTTCCTCTGCCCACAGCTCTTTAAGTGGCTCTACCCGTGCTTGGCCAGGTGGATAAGATGTGGTCACGAGTGGATAGGGAGCAGCATCTGGGAGCAGGACAGGCAGCTGGGGCCAGGATCAGGATCGCCAAGCAGTGACAGCATGGGGCCAGCTTGGGGCAGAGCTGCAATCCACTCCCCACACACCCCTACAACAGTCAGGGGCATGCAGGGAGTGGATCACAGTTCTGCCCAGACCCCGGGTCTCCACTGTCACTGTTCCATGATCCCAGAGTTTCCATGGGGACCTGCGAGGACCCACATGGGCAAGGCATGTGG